CAATCCTCGGCAGTGGATACTTGTTCTTTATCGTCACTTTGTTCAATTGCCGGTAATCAATACACATCCGCATCGAACCATCCTTCTTCTTCACAAATAACACCGGCGCACCCCAAGGAGAAACACTAGGCCTGATAAAACCCTTCTCTAGCAAATCCTGCAACTGGTCCTTCAACTCCTTCAACTCTGGCGGGGCCATGCGATACGACGGGATAGAAATGGGATGCGTGCCCGGAGCCAGATCAATACAGAAGTCAATAGAAGGAACCTCTGCGTTGGAGTCACGGACATATGCCAGATAAGCCAAGCACCCATTCTCGACCATGCGTCGAGCCTTAGCATATGAAATAACTCTGCGAGTGGCATGACCTGAGGTCCTTCTCCACTCTAGTCGGGGCAATTCTGGCAAAGCCAAGGTCACGGTCTTGGCGTGACAATCTAAGATGGCATGATACGGGGACAACCAATCCATCCCCAATATGACGTCGAATTCCACCATATCTAAAGGCAGTAAATCAACACGGGTCTCAAAACCATCAATAGCCACTTTACGTGAACAATAGACGCAATCCACCATAATAAAATCACCCACCGACGTAGACACATAAACAAGGCACTCAAAGAATCACTGGGCATGACCCGATACGGCGCAAACTAAGACCGAAGCTTCTCTACCACAAGCCAGAACAGTGCCTGCACCTCCACCTCTAATACCTTTACCTCCACTTCTCGCATCTCTACCTCCACCTCTAATACCTTTACCTCCACAAAGCCTCCGAAGACGAAGCTGATCTATCACTGGTCTGTGTTGCTGCTCAGCTGAAGAAGCGGTACATGACCTCGCCATTCGCGAAAGAACGGAGTAGAAATTCAATCAGCATTCGAGAAACCAAACCGCACGACGAGAAAGAACAAATGAGGGATTTTTCCTAACACAATAGCCTCTGGGGAACAAGTACAGACGTCTCCGTACCGACCCCCCAGACTCTACTGAGTTTGTCCGTGAGTTGTGAGACCTATGTAACCTAATGCTCTGATACCAACTTGTCACGACACGGATTTCCCACCATCGGGATCGTGATGGCGCCTACTCGTGGTAGCTAGGCAAGCCAACTTATTTACCTTTCGTTAATAAATAAATCTGTTAACAATCTATAGCATCAATAAGAAATATGGGATTTAATAATAATAATAGCAGAAGTCTAATTTATAAATCTGAATCAAAACACGGAATTAGTCAACAATAGCCTCTACCCAAGATTTGGTGTCACGTTACTCACGAACTACTAAGAATAAACTAAATACAAAGGTCTAAAAGAAATATAACAGCTGTCTGTCTCGAAAACAATGAGGCAACAGTCAAAAGGAAACATAAAGAAGAGACGCCAGGCCTGCGGACGCCTGCAAGGCTACCTCAGTCTCGTGAATACGAAAGTCTGCTCCCGAACTACTGCTGCTGCTGCTCCTCAAAACCTGGACCTGTGCAAAAATGCACAGAAGTGTAGCATCAGCACAACCGACCCCATGTGTTGGTAAGTGTCTAGCCTAACCCCGGCGAAGTAGTGACGAGGCTAGACTGGACATCACATAAACCTGTGCAGTTATAACTATACAGCGGGAATCGAATACCAAGTAATTAACAACATGGGAGGGGGAAACATGCTAAGGGGAGATACAATATTAGCATCAATCCAGAGTAACAACTAAAACAGCTTAGGTTCACAATGAACAAGGAATCAATACTCAAATACAAACACATAGCCTCAATAGCTGTTGCGGCGTGCAACCCGCTCCATAATTACTATTGTTGCGGCGTGCAACCCGCTCCACAAACACCACTGTTGCGGCGTGCAACCCGCCCCATATCATTTATCATGTATCATTGTTGCGGCGCGCAACCCGATCCTCACCTTTTACTGTTGCGGCGTGCAACCCGATCCTCAATGTCATTGTTGCGGCGTGCAACCCGACCCTCACATATTATTGTTGCGGCGTGCAACCCGATCCTCAATATCATTGTTGCGGCGTGCAACCCGACCCTCAATATCATTTAACAGTCCGACTCCCCAAACAACAGTCACAATTAAGGGGCATAAAAATAAGTAAACATTTGACAAACATCCCGGTGAGGGAAAGAATCCAACAAGTTCAACCAGACGTCCCGGCAAGGGAATAATCAACAACGTTTTCTCTTTCTTACTTTTCTTATCTCACGATATCACTGGAGCCCAAGCTCCAAGAAATTTCTTATCTCATATTCCGTCACAAACAACAATATAACGACTTCCCAGTAAGGGGACAAAACATCATCTCAAATATTCTGGCAAGGGGATTACTATAACCACATTAGTTCCAACATCTAACCACCACATTAGTTCCAACATCTAACTACCACAGCTATAACCAACCTATTACCACACTTGACCACCTCAGCTATATCTAACCGACTACCACACCCAACCAACCCATCTATAACTATAGTCATCATATGACACAAGGAAATATTTACCTGAGCGACCCTAGTATCCGTTAAGAACACAATGCAGAGGAATCACAACCCAACAATAGCCCGCCAAGAGGGCAACATAATGATCTCTCCTCTTTCTCGCTTTTACTTCACAATTCTTTTTCACAACTCGAGCAGATGCTCCAGAGGTTCAATTATCACTTATACTTTCGCAATTCATTCTACAACTGGAGCCGACGCTCCTCAATGAATCAAGTCATTTCATATACTTTCAATATTCGTATCACAGTTCGAGCCAATGCTCCTAGGAATCAAATTATCATATCACCATTCACATGTTATTCACAATATATGGAAATACTCCAATAAACATGAAATTCACAATATGTTCATGATAATCACATTATAAGGACTCACGGTCATGCTAGACACCAATGTATAGATACTCGTCACCATGCCTATACATCGTACTCGATCACATAGCAGTTAGCAACAAGACTCAACTCCTATTCCCTCAAGCTAGGGTTAAACCAAACACTTACCTCAAAGCCTTGAAATCCACTTAATCCTCAACTATTGCTTTACCTCGCGGTTCCACCTCCAATTCACCCGAATCTAATCACAATTTACTCAATTACTTTAATAAACACTATATGAATCAATTTGAATGCATAAAAAATGAGTTTCCCAAGTTTTTCCCAAAAATTCCAAAATCGCCCCCAGGCCCACGTGGTCAAAACTCGAGGGTCGAACCAAAATCCGGTTNGCATTTGCGATCAGTGGCCTCTCGCATTTGCGAGCAAAATTCTCGCATTTGCGACCTGTGCGTAATTGCCCAGACCTCGCAATTGCGACTGGAAGCTCGCATTTGCGAGCTCGCAATTGCGAGTCTCCCTTTCGCATTTGCGAAAGCCACAGAAGCCAACATACCAGATTTTTAAAAAAAAAATGAGAAATGCAATCCGATGCCTATCCAAAACTCACTCGAGCCCTCGGGGCTCCAAACAAAACACGCATACAACCTCAAAAACATCCTACGGACTTGCTCGTGCGATCAAATCGCCAAAATAACATCATTTACATAGAATCAAGCCTCAAAGCACATGATTTTTCATTATAACTTCATAAACTTCAAACTTTAGATATTTAGGTCCGAAACACGTCAAATGACGTCCGATTTTGACCAAACTTCACAGAAAGTGCTTACCACATATTTAAGACTTGTACCGGGCGCCGAAACCAAAATACGAGCCCGATACCATAGTCTTTTAATCAATTTTCATTTCCATTTTCCTTAATAATTTCAGATAAACAATTTCACGGAAAAATTCATATCTCGGCCTCTAGACCTCGGAATTCGATTCCGGGCATATGCCCGAGTCCCATATCTTTCTACGGACCTTCCGGGACCGTCCAATCTCGGGTCCGGGTCCATTTACCAAAAATGTTGACCAAAGTCAACTATAATCATATTAATATCAAAATTCTTCAAATTTTTTTCACGGAATTCACATATTTCAACATAAAAGCTTTCCGGCTACGCGCCCGGACTGCGCACGCAAATTGAGGCAAGTAAAAAAAATGAGGTTTTAAGGCCTCGAAAGCACGGAATGGATGAGGAAATAGGTGATGACCCTTTGGGTCGTCACAATGATGTGGAAGATTCTTCCTTCTAACAACGAAATATGGTGGTAAACAAGAGTTTGAACAATGCTTTCTTGGATCGTGTGAGTGAAAGGGAAGAATAAACGATAAAATCAATCACTATGGAAAGGTGAACTTTGTATTTTCTCTCAAGGGTCAACTTCTTACAATAGTTTTTTCAGAATGAATCTCACGTGCCTCTCTTGTCTCTCTCCTTCTCTATTATAAGGGATGTTCTCTGAAAACCCTAAAAAGGTACAACAAACCCAATACTACACTAGCCGTTATTCCTACTCGTCGCTATTCGACCTCAGCTTCAACGAGTTGCTCAGAGACTGCTCGTTGTTGGGCTTCAGTCGACCTCGACTTTGGTGCACAAATCGAAACACCGTCTTCCCACTTAACGACCATCCCACGCCTGATTTCCTAAGTCCGATTTTGACCCATACAATACTGTCATCTCTCTGCTCTAAACTATCGTAGCACCACCGTCTAGTCATTATTAGAACACCAACCCAATACCGATACCCAATTAAAAGCTTATCTTTCAATTTTGGACCAAAACTACTCACATCGAAAGAGAAGGCGAAGGAAGGAACTGACTGCATTAATTTCAGGTCAGGGACATGGCCATGTATTACGAGATTAGGCCGATCAGAGAATGCCAATTGTTATTATATTAATTAATAATAAAAGAAGTATCGTAACTTTGCTTTCAAGTATATTTCAGGACTACTTTGAACCTAACCCAAACATAAGGGACCACTTTCATCATTTTCTTTAATCTATTCGATGGGATCAAGAATGAAAATGTCAACTGGCCTAAAAATCTTTGGCCCCTTACCAAATTGACCCTTCCTAGTTTGTTCCGTCGATATCACAAAAATTGGTTTAAAAGGCTACAAAACCCTCAGAACCAACGACTTCCCCTTAGCACATATCTTCTACTAGTATAAAATCTTTTCATTTTCCTCCAACGATGGCTGCCACTTCAGCCGCCATTTTCACTCTCCCAAAGCTCCACAAATCCTCCACAACCCCAAAACCCCTTTTTCCTCTTTCCCCAAAACCCACTCTTTCTTCTTTCTCGCTAGTTCCACTAAAGGTACAACTCTCACTGCGCAACGTACAACCCCTCAAATGCGCCGCCACTCCCAGAATCTCCGCCACAATCTCTGTTGGTGATACACTCCCCAATTCAACACTTTCCTACTTCGATTCATCCGATGAACTCAAAACCCTTTCAATCTCAGACCTCACAAACGGGAAAAAAGTTGTCCTTTTAGCTGTCCCAGGTGCATTTACACCAACATGTTCACAAAAACACCTTCCTGGTTTCGTCGAAAAGTCGAAGGAGCTAAAGTCCAAAGGGGTTGACACAATTGCTTGCATTTCAGTCAATGATGCATTTGTGATGAAATCTTGGAAGGAGAATTTGAAGATTAATGATGAAGTGTTGCTTTTGAGTGATGGGAATTTGGAGTTTACAAAGGCTATTGGGTGCGAACTTGATTTAAGTGATAAACCGATTGGATTAGGTGTTAGGTCTAGAAGATATGCTATGCTTGTGGATGATGGAGTTGTAAAGGTTTTGAATTTGGAAGAAGGTGGTGCTTTTAATGTTAGCAGTGCTGAAGATATTCTCAAGACCCTTTAGAGGTTTTAATTTCCCTTTTTTCGCTCTTGTTTGTTTATTTTTAGGGAATGTTCATGATAATCATGGGGCTTAATCTTGCTTTCTAAATTTTTATTACTAGTCTTGTGATGAATAATTCGAATGTCTTCTGAGATTATGAAGCTTAGTTTGGATAGTTGTCTTTTCACTGCTGCGTTTCTTTCTCTGTAGTGTGATTATGCATGCTTATCGAATACGACCTTTCTACTCGCACAAGGTAGGAGTAAGGTCGCATACATTACAGTGGATATGTTGTTGTAGTTTGGATCAATGTTGCGGGGACTCTTCAAAATGCTGCCGCACCCGTGTCGGATCCTCCAAAAATACAATACTTTTGGAGGATCCGGCACGCACCCGGCGACATTTTCGGAGAGTCCGACCAACATAGGTTTGCACCATTGTTATTGTTCCTTTTTTTCTAAAAAAAAAAAAAAGATATATTTGGAATCTTTAGTCGGCATATATGTCTTGTATGGCTTTATCTTGTTAATCCTAACAATGCTGCCCAAATTGCGATTCAAGAAGACTTTGTCACTCTTATGGTCTTGTTTCTTTTCTATTTTTGTTTAAATTTGATCTTTTGTGTTTAACTGAAACAATTTGATAGCGAAAGTGTTGTTTCATGAATTGCATCAGTATTTAATCAGTCCACTTAATTTGGGTTGGTAAAACACCTTTGTTGATCTAAACCAACTTTTGAGTGGAAAAGAGGAACTTTGCACCCGGTGCACAAAAGTATCCCGTATTCACGCAGGATCCAAGAAAGGGTCGCATCCCAAGGGGTGTAACGTAGACAACCTATCTTAATGCAAGCATTAGTGGTTGCTTTCATAGCTGGAAGCTATGACCTATAGGTCACACAAAGACAACTTTACCGTTACTCCAATGCTCCCGTTTCATTGCACCATATAAGACAAACTAGTACAGAATGATTTTGGAGATTTTAGTAATGGGAGTATATTTATAGATATACATTCTGTGTATAGGCCGGCCATTAGAGTCTTGCTTTTTGGTGAAAATGATGTTTAAAGTAGGTAGGACATTAGTGGTGAAAGATGGGGATTTTTACGATGCTTGCGATAAAAGATTGTTCAGATCCAATAGTTGTGCTGTTTTGGATGAGTAGTAGTTTACCTTTCTTGATTTGAAGCTGATGAAGATGTCCATAACTTGTTTATACAGAAATGATGCAAACAGGCAAGACACATTTTCTTTTGTTCAGTGTTGTCCAAGGCTCATTTAAGGCGCTTAAGCCCTGAAGCTTAGAAAAGCTCAAGAAGGGTACGCATGCGCCTCATTGCCCATGAGTTCTCTTCTGTGTAAGGCAAGGCACTAACGCATGCACCTCATTGCCCATAAGAACATAGAACAACATACTTTGGAGGTGGTGTCATAGTTTATTTTATTGGTAGTTTATCAGGTTAATGGTACTACTGGGTTTGTTGTTGCTGTTGTATTAGGTTGATGGTCAATTTGCTTAGTTTGAATATGAAGTTTCTTATTTTCCATCTTCTCATTTCAGCCGAAACATGAGCTTAGGACTTGAATTCATTGATGAGCAGTATGTAAGATATGTTGGCTTAGCACTGGGTATTAAGATACTGTCTGATTCTAGCCAGTTCAAAAAAGTTTGATACTTTAGTTTTTTCTTCAGTAAGTGGGATTTTCTCTTTAGCATAGTAACTGCATTATTCTCAACTGGTACCATTAAGCGAAAAATGTCTAGGATTAGGCTTATATTAAGAACATTAACCAGTATTTTCCCTGGTCAGAGAACTAAGTTAATAATTTTCCTAGGCAAGTTTTCCAATATTTGGTAGCCAACCTGAAAAATTATTTGGTGTTGACCCTATTTCAAAGTTTTTCTATCTTTCTTGGGCTTTGGCCTGTTTGGTTAGACCCAAATTTGTCCAATTTCATTTTGCTTTGGGCCGACTAGGGGAACCTATTCCCCTCCTTGAACAAACAGGAAAAAATCACATACATGGCCACTGGAGTTTAGCAGATGTCTGTTTTATCTGGTGGGTAGAGCATGTGGTGTAAATGCAACGTAACTTCACAATAAGCTGACCGCACCTAAGAATGTGGCATGACGGTCAATGAAATAGGTGAGAACCTTTGGATATCAAGGTTCAAATCTCAGCATAGACAACAAAACAACATAAGGCGATTTCTTCTATGTACTAAATTTTTGGCAGATAGAATTACCCGAAACTAGTTGATGTGTGAAATTGTGGTTGCATTCAATCTAACAAAAAAACCTTTCACTGGATTAGAGAATTTTCAGTAAAGGTGACCTGAGGCGGAATCAGGATTTAAACTTTATGGGTTCAACTTTTAAAGTTTTTACCATTGAACCCATAATATTTTTAAAGTTATGAGTTCATATCTACTATTTCGCAATTTTAATGAATTTTTACATATAAATTTTTATTCCGTGTTGAAAGTTATGGGTTCAATTGAACCCGTCGGCACTGCATCCTTCCCCGAAGGTGACGAGCCAAACCACGCTGGAGAGCATCTTTGAGTTTGTGTTTGTGGTCATGCTCAATGTTGCTTACTTTGCTACACCAACTGTTGTTTAGTATTTGCTAATTCTTTTCTCAAAAAAAGAAAGAAAAAGAGCATGCTCTATATCTTTTGAGATGCTTTATTCAAGGAAAGATTCATACCATGCATCCTCTCTTATATATTAAAAGGAAAATATAAAAACGACCATTGTCAAATAGAGTAGCAAATAGTATTTACTAATGAGAGCATTTTCTATTTCACTAAGCGCGGTCATGAAAAAGTCTCTTAAAAATTAAATACTAAAATTATAATTTTAATGAAAGAGAAATGAAAAATGCAAAAAACAAAAATTGACACAGATAAGTAAAATAATGGTATAGGCATTGATCCCCACATTTAGTAAACATAATTGTTTCTATTAAAGAAATAAAATTTTACGATATAAATGCACAATATAGAACTAACATGCTAATAAGCACAAATGTGCCTAGCTTCATGAAGAGAACTCCATGAAAATTCATCTATTTTGTGGTTTGCTTTTATCCTCCATGATATATTTGTCGTCCAAAATTAACTTATATGAGTAAGATTAAACAACATGAAGGTCACGAAAACCAAGATATATAGCACTAAAGTTTTGTTATTTTGGGAGTTATATATTCCATGAAGATAAGTACATTTCAGCATGAATTAAAGGACATCGCGATTTGATAGTGATTGAATAGATGTATGAACTTGCATGTATGTAAAAGAAAGTTTTTTAGGCATCTCCGATAAGTTTAGAAAGTATTAAAAGCCACTATTTTAATCAAAAATTCCCTGCGGTCCATTTTAATTAATATTTTTAATTAACAATAAATTTAATCATATTAACCTTAATTTGTTCATTCAAAATACAACAAATACTCCTGGGCTATTTAATACAATGGCAACTTTTAAAAAAAGAAGTTAATTCCTTCTTGATATTTAAAAAAATCAAATATTGTGGACCACAAAAAAAAAGACCAATAAATCAATTAAAGTGGACAGGAGAGGTAGTAATTAAATTTTTTTTTTTTTTTGGAACCCCAGGAAAACCCGCAGCCGCTACAGCCTCTGCCCGTAAACCCCCCACTGTGTAATAGCCTGCAAACCACACAGGAGATGTAAACCGCACTAGGCAAGCCCCGTGCGATAGGCTCAGGCCCAGAAGGCATTGAGGGAGGATCGAACCCGCGTCTCCCGCGTGGAAAACTCCCTCCAAACCCACTGGGTAAACCCCCACTGTATAATTAAATTTTTTGCTTTAACGGAAATATAATAACTCAGGTAATCATACAACCAAGTGTATCCTCGTCAAGTTGGTTACCAAAAGACAACAAACTAAAAGCCCATCAGATGAGAAAAGTGGCTTACTAATGTATTTCCAACTTGGATGTCTCTCTTCCTCCATTAGCTCTAACATTCTCCATATTACCAATTCCATATAATAATAATAACAACGTTTATACTGGAGGAGGGTAGATTATAAGAATTTTTGAGAATATAATAGAAGCAATAACATCTAGTACGGGAAATTTGACTGGGAAACTACAAGCACGAAAGCTAGAAGAATAATTTTAATAGGATCATTTCACGAAAATTTGGATATGTAACATTTAACTACTTGTATGAAAGTCTATGTTTGTCAATGATACCAACAACATATTACCGTCGATGGAGGGTGGTCAAGTGGAAGTACGTTGGTATCAGCATAAGAGCTCATATTGAAAGAGGAAGAGATAACAAATGAGTGAAGAAATTGGAGGATGAAGAAGTAAAACGTAAAACCTGACAATACATTTTGGGACTCTTGAGTAACAATTGTGGATTTTAATAGTGACTTGTGGACTCTCCATTAACGGTTCCCCGTTACCAATAAACTTCGGAATTTGTCAAAAAATAATTAAACTAAATGAAAAGAATGAGTAAGATGCAAGAAAAATGAGAAAATAAGATTCAAGTGACTTCTAAGCTTTAAAAAATTAAGTTGGATGAAGAGAATGAAGTAAAAATATTCAATAAAAAAGATAAAAGATAAATAGGATCCTTGGCCTAGGAGAGGTGCCAAGTCACCTTTTTCATTCCCTCCTTGGAGTGTTTTACTTCTAGTGCTTTGCTATTTTTTTTCTTAATTCTTTTGTACATTTTATTTATGTATCTCTTCTTCCCATCACTATACAAATTTCAAAAAAAAATGGCGAGGGATAACCAAATGACAAACTTTTTGCATAATAGGATATCTTAATCCCAATTTATTCATTAGTTTGAAGAATTTGACGTACCAAGGATAACTTATAAACAAGTACGCTTTTATCTTAAAATCAATTCCCAGTACTCTTCTCTCCATCCAAGCTCAAATGTTGGAAGGTCGTCCTTCCACTCTCCACTGCTGGTTGCTGGTCCTGTAAGTAAGAAGGACACATCCCAGAACTTCACAAAAGTTAGTTTAGTTAGCAATGAAAACAAAATGGGAGAAGATATATCATCAAAGAAAAAGCAGATAAATGCATTACAAGTCAAACCCAATACCTGAAAAGAAAACACATTATATTGCCTATGTCAAATTCATATTATTTTTTCTCTTAAAAAAAATAAAAATACTCGCACAAGCAAATA